ACTGAAGTCAAGGTAGACCACATCCACCAGAAAGGATTTCTGGGGAAAAAGGAAGTCTGAAGTGATCACAAGCCACTCACTTGCACGGAACCATCTATTACATCCAGTTCTGTTTCACATTAACCACATTTCTCTACGAGCTGAATCTTCCCTTTCCAGTGCAAATACTGAAGCCCCTCTCCTAGCTTTTGCCTAGTTTCTATAGACATACAATGCTAATTAAGATATGTTTCCTCTTTGAATCATATATATTTGCTTTTAAATAAATCTGGCCTGTAATCATTACAGCATTCAATCAACAAGCTGCATGTAAATTGAAAGGTTCAGAAGTAGCTTCTGTGGAAGTGCAACTTGAGGCAAGAGGCGGAACAGTCTCTCCAAGAGCCAGCAGCTCTTTAAGTTACCCTCTAGGGGAAAATCTAGCAAGCCAAAACCGGAACAAAAACTCCCACACACCAACCATCCTCCACTTCCCACAGTACAACTGTAGAAGGAAAATCTGCAGACAAAAATGTCTTCAAGCTTTTTTCTCCCAGTCTTACTTTCAGCTTACTAGTAATACAATTTTCATCAGTTACCTTTCAATCCTGCCATGTATGTTTCCCATACATTAGGACTGGTTGCATACGTGGTTATAATACACTGCTTTAGTCTTTTTAAATCCAAAAGAAAGAAGTAGCTTCGCATAAACCTACAAGCCAACGTCCACGAAGCTGCTAGCGGCAGAGTTCCATCACAGCTTTCCTCCGCCTCACCACTTCCACAAGAAAATACACGCAGCTCAAAACACAGCGTTGTCAACTCAGTGAGATCTTTCTGAACTTCTGGTTCTAGGACACATGGAGGAGACAACTGAAAGCTGCAGTCTGAAGGTCCCTTCCAATCAGCACTATTTTCACACATGGTTTTGCTTACACAGGTTTCATCAGTATTTTCCTTTTCAGTGCAGTGTTTGAAGATACTGCTCTGCTCTTCATCTGCTGAGTCTCCACCAGCTGGATCCAGGTGCAGGTTTTCCTCCAGGACTGCCCTCTCTTCTTCAGCACACGCAGTCTCGCTTTTCTTAACAGAGGGAGGAGAATGCTCTTTGCTGCCAAACTTTTCTTCTAGGTAGACAAGCCATTCCTGTAAAACCCTTCTCATACACTGTGGTTCTAACAAAACCAGGGGATCCTGGAGTTTGGCTCTGCAGCATAAAAGAGAAATTTGCAAAGTTGCTTGACAGCTGTAAGATGTCACAAGTGACGTATTACATATGCTTTGTGTAACTCCATGTATATTCCTAAACTTGACAGTGTCAGTTGTTTTTTGTGGTTCTGAGTACATCAAACAGAATTTAGGCTACTTAGGCTGCCTATGTTTGATTTTTATTTTTTCCTTAACTACAAACTGTGCTCATAGTTAGGACAAAAGGATAATGCTAGAGTGCCTAAATAAACTTTCAGTGGGTTTTGCTTGGTTTTAAACAGGGGAAACAAATTATTAATCAAATGAGATTCTTTCAGATTATGTTAATAGACGTTTACAGCACTACTCTTATATTTATGTAATGAATTAAAGAAAATAGCAATTTAAAAAAATAGTATTTTTTTCTACCAAAGCCCAATATACCTATACACTAAAATGTTTCATTGCTTACATAGCTTCTGCAGTGGCAGTCTTGAGATCTCTTAGATGGTCCTCCTCGGGAAGCTGGCAGCTCTGTGGTTCTAACCTAGAAAAATACATTAACTTCAGTCTTTTCTGACATTTTATCTTTAATAACTTAACATTTCCCCACAATTTTCCTCAAATTTGTGAGGAAACAACATTAATTCCTTTATTAAAAAAATACAAATCTTTCACTTGTAAAGGATGCAGCAGCTCAACAGAAATTATGGATGAACTGGTCATGAAGAGCAACCGATACTATTAGTTTTGTGGCCTTCTGTAATGGCTTCTACTCCAACTACAGTAGATTTCTGAAGGTACTGAACAAAAATCAGTATCATGCCACTATATGAAAGTTAGTCCAAAATGGTAAGTTAGGAAATCATTGGACTAGGAAATAACTCAGTGCTGTACTAATTGGACAACCATTATGGAAGTTCAATGCCTTATAGCTATCATTATTTTAAAAAAAGAAAAAAGTTTTTAGGGAGATAAAAGTGTTTACTTCCCACTCAGAAAGGACAGAAGTGAACTGTTGGACTCAAGTCCATGACTACAACAAGCATCACAGATCAGCAGTTCTCATGTAGCATAATATGCCATGTTCTTGCTCTTCAGTCACTGCAGCACTGTGGACACTGCACACTCCACCACGCAGAAGTGTTCACTGCCTCATCAGCTTCTAGAGTGTCAGGGACAACCAGTGAAACACACCATAGTAATGAAGACAGCTGGGAAAACCTAACCCTAAGCTCCCCAATCCACCTGGAACAGTAGTTTTTTCCTTGAGTTTGCCATCCTGGGAATCCCCAGCAAATGCAATTGCGAAGTGCTAAGATTTTGCACTCACTCTTTCTCTTCCTGGGGAGATGCTACCAGATTAACAGTCAGCTCCTGCAGCTGCTCATCACTCTTTGCTTCTTGCCTCCCTCTAGCATCAGGACTTATATGAAGCGTGCCAATCTTTTCGGTAGTTTTGCGTACAAAGCTGGAAACACTAGGAGTCAGAAGTTCAAACATGTAAAATTCAAAGTTCAAAGCTGAACAAATCAAGCACTTTCTTTCCATTCAAAACATGATTTCAGGAAACCTTATAATCAGAAGAACTCTTGAAAACAGGACGAGAGCAGCAATGACCAACAAAAACAGAACTCACCAAGAAGCTGCTCAAAATTCATACTTCAGTCATGGTCCATACTTTCAAGCATAGAATAAAAACCTGTACTATTTGAACTATTTAAAACTTGGCTTTTCTGCTGCTGGAGAAACACGATCATATACTAACATTAGCACTTAATGTAGACATATAATTGTATGCAAATAAATGGAGATCAGCTATACTGCACTTTAAAGCTTATAAACAGAAAGCATCATTAGGTAATTCTTTCTGTCCCTCTGTGGGAAGAAAGAGTTTTACAATACTCCAAAATAATTCTTCGGATTACAAAACTCATTAAAAAAAATCTCCTTTTCCTGTCATCAATCCCTCTTCCTTCATGTATGTTATTCAAGAAAAAGGCCAGTGAACCTACAAAACCAAATTAATTTCTACTACTGCCGTGAAGAGAACTATGCCATCGAGGGCTGAACAGAAAAATCAGCTTCTTAATTTCTGGCCAAGAACCAGCTTAAGAGCATCAAGGAAAAAAAAGGGGAAAAAAAACCCCTTTTGACTTGCTCAGCAGAGAATAAGGCATCTTTTACAGTACCAAGGTATAGCAAAAGTTGAAGGTTGCTGCAGAAGAAAGAAAGGATTCAAACTTTAAAAAAATATCTATTTAGCTAAGAAACTAATGCACATATTTTTAAAAAATTATTTAAGTTGTGTATTTAACACCTTCTCCTCTATATTTGTCCCTCCCTTCTTTTTTAAAGTGAGTTTTAAAATAACAACTTGAATTCTGCATAAAACAGACACTACCATGTTTACCTGCACCAGGTATAAGCTACCATTATCCCATAGCATCTGGGGAACTGATTAGATTCACTGAAATGTGTGTGCAGGGAGATGGCAGACCACGTACACACACACACACACACACACACACACACACACACACACACTTTGCAAGTATGTTTTAGCAATAGCTAGCATGCTTTGAATATTTTTATGTTTAACCCTAAGCAAAGCATAGGAAGCCTTCACTCGCTCTTCAGAAATCCAAGTACCAGAAAAGCAAAATTCCAAAACAATATTCAGTAAGTTTGCTTTAAATACAGACCCCAACCACAGTTTACAGGGTAATTTTAAACATTCTTAGACATTTAAAAACTGAGGTTGAAATCTTGGCTCCACTGAAGTTAACAGCAGCACTTTGCATCTTCATCAGAGTCAAGATGGAAGATTTAAATTGCCTAGCAAGGTTGACTGCATCTCCAGTGTTTCAGTTCAGATGTTACATCTTTGCAAAACAGAGCATGAACTAAACCAGACAATGCTACAAATTCACAGGACAGAAAAGGGAAAGATGTAATGGATGAGTGAACCTGCTGAGTTTTACCTTTCTTTGACAGCTTGGAGAGAGACGAGAGGAGATGGGGAACGAAATGACAAAGGAATATTGAATGGGAGAAACGTCTCATTCCGGTCAGCCTCAACCGTCACGGACGCATGAGATACATTGTCTAACAAATGGAATTAAAATAAAGAGTCATGAAACAGTGGCCTGGCAGAAATGGATCAGTGAAACAAACTGCAAATCAGTAATTCATTAATGGATAACCTTGCATGGGATATTTTCATACTTAATAGTCAAGAATGTGGGGAGCCAGAAAAGTGCTACTTGCTTTCAAGGACCATTTTATTACTGACTTTACACTTAGTAGGTCTGCTTTGCTAATTGTCTTTTGCCTCTGTAACAAGGCAAATGATGATAAACTGCTGAAAATTATCTTATGTATGAAGATAGTACTGTACGAAAGATATCTTCTAAAAGTAAACTTACAGTCCATTTAGGGGACAAAAATCTTTACTTAATCCACCGACAGTTACTTAAACATGTAGAAAAATAAAGTATTGTGGCATACATCAACTCACACTGCAGGATTTCACAAAACCTAAATCACGTATGAATGTATAGAAACACAATTCATGGTGAAGGTATAAATCACCATTTTATTTCTAATGACTTAAAAATATAAATGAATCCATAGCTCTCTAGCTTTTGATAAGAATCACAAGAAATAGAGAATCACTATTTCCTTTTCACTTTTATATATCCATAACAGCATCTACAATGTGTTTTGATTAATCATTTCCTGGTGCAAACACAGACTATATCTTTAAGTGACATAAATAAGAAAAAAAGGACCCTTTTAAGTAAGGATGATGCTGCATTTTGCAACAGTCAGCACCATCTGCACTGTTGAGAGGAAAAGAAGCTATGCCGTTATAAAAATTCTCACCATCAGAATCCACGATCTCTCTGGATAGTTCCTTCAGGCACAACTGATTTTAAAATTGATTGAAAATAAGGCTGCTCTTGTTCATTATGCAGATTAGAAACCTAAAGACTTATGACATCTTACGTAAATGTGAGCAGGGTAACACAAAGTCCACTTGTCTTAAATACCAAATTAAGTACACGTGCTTCAAGAAGCATCTAGAACTTCTCTACTTCAAAATAATCAGCACATTTTTTTCTCTCTTGTTGAATGAACAGAGCTTTTCTATCTTCTCACATTCAAAAACTCTGTCCCTTCATTCTACAGTTTTAATATCAGAATTTATACACTTCCTTTCAAATTTTCTCACTTCTTGTTTTTATGGTGATGTAGGTAAAGAAGCAAATGTAAATGTAAGTGCTAAAAACAGCACTTGGCTTAGCCAGCAGGACAACACTACTGAGAAGTAGGGCAGTAAATACTAATTCCTAATTTCTACACTCTCCCTCCCCAGTGTGGTTTTCCCCAGCAAAGCACCCAAATTCTCTCCATCCTCAACTGGCACCTACTCTCTGCAAAAGCTAAAGAGCAGCCTTTTTATTGGAAAGTTCCACACCTGGAACTAAGCCAGCTCCTCATCATTCTGCATCCCCTCCCAATCCCAACCAGAGAGAACAAGACCCATTATTCTCTCACTCCTGCTTCTGTTCAGTTACAGACATTTGTTAGGAAATTAAAAAAGCTCCCTGGATGGTCTAAATGTTAGTTATTAACAATTCAATCATCTTTATGTTACTGTATACATGTTAAAGAGATGGTCTCCTGTACAAATGAAAACCTCAAGAAAGAACACTTACCATAGGCCTACTGTTTTCCCTGAAGAAATATAAAGCCAGAGCCAAGATTAAGAAATTCTTTCCTGGAATTAATATTACTGAATGTGGCAGCAAACAGATCTCATTTAAAGCTCAATTACCACTGGCACAGTCAGCTAAGAGAATCTTAGCGTTAATGCTGAATTGCACATAGAGGGAGAGGGAAAAAAATTGTGTGAAGTCCTAGCTCTGGACCTTTTGTTTTGTTTCTCTGAATTGTGTTTGTTTTTAAACTTGGATTTCTGTGAGGCCAGCATTTCACCCCAATGTTTCAAGGAGGAATTTGATGGGAAGGTGGGGTGACTGTGTTCCCATTAACCAACTAGAGGATTTAATCATGGATAACCAGGTAGTGAAAAATATACACACAGAACCAACCTAATCAAATTCTTGTAGCATAAATAAAAATTGCATCTGAATAACATATTTTCATTAAGAAATATTACCAAGTTCTACTTGCTCATCTTCCTGGTGTGCAGGAAATTCTCTAAGTCTCTCGTCTTCTGAGAACGTTTGACTGTGGAGAGAACACGAATCTTCATCTGACTGACTGCCTCTTCGACCAATAATACGATATATTCCAGAGTCTAAGACACTGAAGCTTTCCTGTCGGGCAAGGGAGAGAATTTAGATGTTGTGAGTCGTACTTCCTTGTTAAACTTCCTGCAAGAACTCAGCCGGCCATACCCACTCAAATAACCTCACGTCACTTCATAATTCACTGTCTGGAAAAGCCCTATGTCGTGGGGGACCTCAGCTGGACTGAGGCCCTTGGACAGAGTGACTTTGACCTTGAGAAGGTTCCAGTCTACCCTTGAGAGAATAAACAGGAACAAGAAGAGCCACAAGGTAAACAAGTTTGTTGGAAGTGCTGACAGCAGACTGAGGAGTATATGTTCCTTTGGCCGAAGTGCTGAGTTGTGATGAACTGTGAAAGTATTATCCAATAAAAAAGAGACACAGTAACTTTGAACCAATGAGAAGACACCACATCTGGGGAAAGAGAGTATAAAGAGATGAGGAAGAAACACAATAAAGGCTTCTTGTGCTGTGCCAACACTTGTTGTCTTGTCGCTTTGTCTACCACACTATATAACAGCATTGACATATCCAGAATGGAAAAGTATGCACATGCCAGAAAGTGTGCAGTCCAGTGACTGTATTTATAAAGATGTATACGCTGCAACTGCTCTTGAAAAGCTGCTGGGAAGCTAAGACAATACCAACCAGCTCTACGTGTAAAAGAGTATTATAAATACGGTTTGGTTTTTTTGCCTTAAAGCTTTCTGCTTAAGCTTCATAGAGTAAGACAATATTTTAAATAGGACTAGGATAGTTCTAAGCATTTCAACATTCAGTTTTCACCACGCAAAACTGCAGTTACAATCAAGATGACCTTTACACTGAAGAACGTTAAGCGCTAAACTCAGCTGTGGAGAGAGGCACCTTCTTATCAGTACACATCTCAGCCATTAGTCACAAAATAATAGGCAGAGGTCTGAGAGATTAAAGAATGCAAGCAGTAGTATTTCATACCCCTCTATCTCACCTAATTTTAGAAAGTAACATCATCAGCTATAGCAAACTTGGCAAAAATGAAAGCTTCATCTTCAAAGTGTGCAACAAGGCAATTTTAAGCCATAGAGAGAAAATCTGCAGGTAACATTTTTGGCACTACCAATACACATACATGAGATGAAATACTGCTCCTTCTACTGCTGCACGCAGAGTCTAGAGGTTCCAACTTTGAAATTAGTTCTTCCAGTTGCATAATAAGATCTTGTTGGGTTGAGGCATCCAGCTGAGACTTCAAGTGCTCCAGCTTGTCTAGAGGCAAATTTTTTCTTGCCTAAAGGTACACAGTGAAACAGAAGCATTATTATTTCTAATACACATCTGAAAAGCAAATGGTATCACACATGCAGGCTTATTTTTTTCCTACAAGTAACTTTTAGATTTATTTAAAAACTCCAAGAATATGAATCTCAGAACTCTATGGAACTTAATGGAAGAGAGGGACAGGAAACAGAGTGAAGTTGCACTGCACATTTACAAGGAGGTATTTACTTACTCTGCAAGAAATGACTGAGTTTTGGAAGAGAGAACAGACCCTGGCAGCAAGGGTCCAGAACCCTCTTCTTATCAGACGCTCTATGCAGCGGTCTACCAGCAGAAGGGAGAGGTGCACAACTTTTCCATTTGTATGCAGACAGAACAACTCATTTTTGTAAACTGCAATATCTTGAATATCTGTAAAATCAGATGCAAAGAAAGATCTAAAGCACTGAAATTGTTAGCACTGAAATTCCTTTCTGTTACTGAAAGAAGGTGAAAAAACTTATTTTCCGTCTGAGTGCAAATGCATGCAAAAGCCTAAGACACTGTAGCATGGGGAAAACAAACACTGAAGAGTGCTAAGCTAGCTCTAACAACTATAAGACACAGGTAAAGTATCAAAGCTTTCTGTAGTTGCATTTCTAGAAAGCATTCAGAAAGTTCACTAAAGTTACTGAAAAACTAAAGACTGATAAAGATGAGAAATACATCACTGTTAGCTTTGAAAAAGAAGGAAAACATTTATCAGTAGAAAAACACTTTGACCTTTCAGCATTTTTCAAATGAAATAGTTATGCTACATACAAACACTGCGTGACAAAAGCATTGGAAACTTAACACAAAAAGGGGGAGGAAAAGGAAGGAAAAGACTGACTGACAATAACTAACCCTTCTAGGACTACGTCTATAACCATGCACACAAAACCATTTATGACGGTTCACTCGTCTCCCAAATACGTACAATTCCTTGCTCCACTTTAGACAGATACTAGGAAAAAAACACGTTTTAAGCTTTCAGCAGCCACGTTATGCATCAGAATACACTTGACAATAAACCTAAAAAATGGGGAAAGGATACTTCCAGTTTTACCCCACTAATACTGCAGGTTGTTAACTCTCACTATTTTAATTACTGGATTCACTCTCCACTACATTTCATTTCTCAAGCATGTTTTCATAACTATGGAGGGATCTGTTGGCTGCAGGAGGTGGGGAGAGAGTTAATATTCAAGGATATACCTGATAGATGACAAGGAAAAAAGAGTTTTCTTATCAATGTTCTGCAATCCAGCTGCAGTAACTGGGCTTGAAAAGACTCCATGTTAGGCAAGGACTTCAGAAGTGACAAACATAACAGACAATATTACAAAGCTAAGATTCTTAAGTTTACCTTTTACTTCACTCCAGAGTAAGACTTGAACACTTTGGGGGAGAAAAATATAAATGCCTCTTTCTGTCCAGGTCATCACACAGTGTTCACTGCAAGCGAAGCAGATGTAAACAGAGCAACAGTTAATTGTGCAGTCATTGTAAAATATGCAAGGATGACATTGGCTTAAGTACAGCAAGTGAGATTGTTGTTCAGCACGATACTTGGACAATTCTTACACAAGAAGATGAAGCTGATAATATAAATTAGGAGAACATGCAACTTTAAACTTTGAAGTCTACTTTATCAACAGGAAGCTACGCAAATACTCACGTTAAATACAGTAACTTTGGGAAAGACAGAGATTGCGGAGAGCAGCTGGAACTAGTATAATGAGGATCCAGCCTGTAAAGTAAAATTACTATCTGTTACAAGCAAAACTACAGTAATATCACTTTCTTCATATAATATTCTTAACCCTGTAAATACAAGGCTGGCTTAAATAAAGCCTATGACAGCAGCATTCATTGTGGCAGTCACACAGACATACCTGCATATCAGTGTTTAGACATTTCTGATAACTCAACTACTGCCTTCCCTTACTAGAGAATGTATTAAGGTGACAGCTAGAATTAACGTTTGACTGCACTAGGAGTTTGTTCAATCTTCTCAGCATTCATGCTGTTCTTCTCAGCTAGTCTAGAAGTCCTGAGCAAGTTCATCACTGGTAACAGTCATGCTTCTACCTGAGAGTAACAACGGGGAGAGGTGGTGATGAGAGCAGCTGCTTGAACTGATGTGTGCTTTGCACCTCCCCGTCAAAGTTCACCTCCCACATCCTTGAGCCAGGTCGAGCACAGTATATTAATGGCTGTTGATTCCCATTGTTTTTTCCAACAGGGAAGAAACATGCTCCAAATTCTCCATCTCTTTCTTTGTTACCAATTTTCCAGAACTTCTCTCTAGTGGAAAAAACATACTTGTTAAAGCAGCATGAACGAAGGCTCTAATGAGTTTTATGTTGTTCTTGAACAATAAAAATACTACATAGTAATTGCTGAATTTGTTTTGGTGCTTCAAAAAAATCTGTAATGAATACTGCATAAAGGTTATAAAAGACAGAGTGCAGAAATACTTACTAGTTTAAACAAAAACTCAGGTCATGAAAGATTTTTATTCAGCAGAAACAGTCTGTCAACCTGGTGACGGGAAGGTGAAGGTTCAAGTGATGCCAGAAACCATTTCCAATCACACAGAAGTTAAGAAGGTGATTATGCATACTCAGCATAGATTTATAAAGGAGAAGTCATTTGAAAGACAGCCCCCTACAACAGAATGACTGGCTGGACAGATGACAGGTGAGCAGTGGATGTTGTTTACCTTGACTCCAGTAAGGCTTTTGACATTGCCCCTCCTAACAGCTTTACAGACAAACTGAGGAAGCATGGGCTAGATAAATAGACATCAAGAAATGCAGAGTCATGCACTGGTGGAAGAATAGGCCCAGGCACCAGGAGAGACCAACTGGCTGGAAAGCAGCTTTGTACAGAAGGGCACAGGAGTCCTGGTGAACAACAAGGTGACCATGAGCCAGCAATACACCCTTTTGGCAAAAGTGGCCAAAAGTCTCCTGGGCTGTATTAGGAAGTGTTGCCAGCAGGTCGAGGAAGGTGATCTTTCTGCTGTTCTCAGTACTAGCAAAACATATCTGGAGTCCTGGGTCCAGTTCTGGGCTCCCCAGTACACAAGAGACAGGGATATTACTGGGCCAAGTCCAGTGATGGGCCACAAAGACAGCTAAGGGATTGCAGCACCTCTCTTACAAGAAGAGGCTGAGAGAGCTGGGCTGGTCAGCCTGGAACAGACAGCTGGGAGGGAACCTTATCTGATCCCATGTGTATGAATGTTCCCCTGATGGGGGAACTAAAGACGACAGAGCTAGACTACTCTCAGTGGTGTGCAGTGGAAGGACAAGAGGCAATGGGCACAAATAGAAACACAAGAAATTCAATTTCAATATAGGAAAAAGCTCTGTTATTGTGAAGCTGGTGAACCACTGGCAAAGGTCGCTCAGAGAGCTTGTGGACACTCTATCCTTGGAGATGCTCAAAACCTAACTGGACATAGTCCCACACAATCTACTCTACCTGACTCTGCGTTGAGCAGGAAAATTGGACTGGATGATCTCCAGAGCTCACTTCAGAAGCATTGTGTGACTCCATAAAGTCCAATATTTTATAAGTAAAATATAACTTGCCTCTCGGTATCACACAAATAAGTCCGTGTAAGGGACGATATGAGCAGTCTTCCATCCAAATAATCAAGCTGAACAACCCGAGAATCCACAGTGGTTATAATCTGAACTGGAAACATCACAAAAGTAGCAGCGGCCTACAGTTAGAAAGAAAACAAAGCAAGAAAACATACTGAGCCTCAGTTTAAAGTAAAGACAAGTTAAGTCAAAATTGCAAAATTCAGAAAAGACTCATGTATGCTATGAATACACAGTGTAAGACAGAGCAGATCCTTTCTTCTCTCTCCCTTACAAAACAAGGCTTCAAAGTTTTAGAGGCATAAAAATTTAAATCCTCCTTTTCCCAAAAGCATTATTGAAGGTTTAAGAAAAATAAGTGTATGCCAGTTGCATCCTGACATTTCTTTATAAAGAGCATGTTTTCTGTAATGGTAAGAGGAGTTTTTATTTATTCTTAGCCCTTGCAAGCTTTGTGCTTTTGTCATTTCTCTCCCACAGATATTTTCAGCCAGTAAACAGTTTTATGGAGAGAGAGCTGATGGATTACTTGATACAAAAAAAACTTCCATCAGATTTAGGTGGTTTACATAAACTCACTTTCTCTATTACCCTGCAGCAAATTACTCAAATACTATTTACTACACAAGTGCCTCAGTTTGCATGGGTGGCAGAACAATGTCATAGACAGACTTCTTATGAATAAGAAACCAGTAGGAACTGCACTCAAATTTTCTAGCAGATGGTCACCATTTTTGACAGTTTAAAGCTGTTATCGTTGTTAGGAATGTGTCAATTCCCTACCTCAAACAAAGTGCATTACATGAGAGATTCAACAGTCCCCTTCCTTTAACAGGCATAACCAGACACATTCTGTGGGCCTTGCCCTTCTCTCCTTTCCTTTTTTCTGTCTTTCCACAGTTGGATTTTTCTGCTCTTTCTTTAAATACAATAGTCTTGTTGCTTTTCAATCAATTTTCCATCAAAATCTTTCACGAGGGTTAGAAAAGACCTGGAGGAACACATCTACTCGCAGGTCACGCTCCTTCTTACAGATTAAAAGCAGAAAGAAAGGACCTAGTAATGGTAAAAGTTAGAGAACACTCCAGGGCTAGAAATCAGGCTGGTACAATTAATTAGTGTGCCCTTTGCCCAAAATGCAATGGATGGAAGTTTGATGTCTGCCTACCGTTTACTTAAACTGATCCACACATTTAAGAATTAGAGTATCCAGACAGAACCAAGCAAAAGAGTCTGGGATTGCCCTTTCTCAGAGCAGCAGCTGCGCTGAGAACTAAAACAAACGGCTGAACCTGTAGCTGGCGTCTAAGGAATCCAACAGGCTCAGAAACACCAAGACCCTGAGCTTGAATACTTGTAAATTTCAAGAGAAGGAAGCTCAGCCAGTTTTTTAATTCTGCACATTTGAAATCATTTTTATGTTGCATTACTAAAGTAGCTAAAAGAGAGGGCAGGGGAAGTTCACAGGTTAGCATTTCTATTGGTATCTCAAGAGACTGGTTCTTCATCCCAACGGTCAAAGATGCCAGAACTTCATCAGCTGGCAAGTCCTCCTCTAATCTACTTTACTAAAATAAACAAAAGGATTCCACATCATCCCCTGGTAACCTCTTCATCTCAAAAGTGTGTAACATTTTACCTTCCCTTGTTTCGATGTGTTGATCTTGATGGCTGATACTTTTCCCACATGATCTCCTACAAAAACACGAAGGGCAGTTGTATCCCAACACATAGCTGTGACTTTTCTGCCTTTATGCTCAGAGGAAACATAAATCCGTTCTGGCTTCCCTCGACGTTCCTGATTCAGCTCCCAGACTACCACAAGACCTTGGCTACAACAATTAAAAAAGAAAATGCAATTTGAGAATAAGTCTTCTAACGTTTTATCAGTGATAAAGATGCATTATTCCAAAGAAACAGAAAATCTACATTTCACATGTTTTCAAGAAGTGTCACATTCTTAATTCTGAAGAATGTGTCCTTCCTTGCACTATGATGCATCAGCAGCTTTGCTTGAAAGGCTACTCTTGCATTGACTGAAATTGCCAGTAAGGATGCAGAAAAATAAGCATTTAAAAGGATTTTAAACCATGTAAGTGTAATCTCACTCTGCCAAGTTAATGAAGGTGTTTCTTTTGACGCTGAAAGGTCTCAGGGTGACATTTATCATCTCAGCTTCACACGCATTTTCTCTCCCATAGATGTTCTATTACAGAAATAATACTTATTCTGGAACAATTTTTCCAGGGGAAAAAAAAAAGAGTGAAGCAAACTGTCTGCACAGAGAATTACTCTGTAGAGGCCTCTACCAGTTAATTCCCTGCCGCCCTCCAAGTTCTCAGCAGATGTCCAAGTCTAAAACTTAGAAGCTACTTAAAAATATTTATCTAGAAATCAGGTTTGTCAGTACACCACTCACCTGGTGGCAACAGCAACATAGTCTTCATCATGTGAACAACAGGCAACCTGGGAAATGGCACCTTCCTGAAAGCAAGGATGGGAGTAAGCGCAGGAAAAAGTTGTTCCCGTACTGCCTTTACCACTACACAACTTTTATGTCTAAGACATAAACCAGACTCATCACAACAGCTACTACCACTTCATCTTACTTGGACAGTTCAGCAAGCTGAAAATGCCTGCTCTTAACAAAAACTAACTTGAAACAATGTCTCTTTGTCAGTCCCATTCTCCCTGGATTTTTTTGTACAGAATTCTTTACCCTTACCTTATGAGTGAGAAAGAGTCTTTGCTTCCAACCATCTTTCTGTATAAGATTCAGTCCTCCTCCTGAACTGCCTAGAGCCAGCCATCTCTTTGACACAGATACACATGTGCACTGAAAGAATAAAAATCATAATGTACAACACGGCTACTAGTAAGTACTAATAACAGTATCTCTTTCTTGCATTACTATGTTATTTTTAAAGGCTTCACTGTTGGCCAGTTGTGAGTATCACTCCTGAAACCCTGGCAGCAGAGTCATCAAGGATATTAGAACAGGACTCTGCAACTGGAGCAAACAGAAGACGACAGTAAGGCTGTATTATTTACCCCACAGCTGCATTAAGAAAACACAGAGAGTAACAGGATCCTTTGTCTTCACTACTTCTTCTTCCCAAAGTTTTCCCCAACATAAACTACCATGAACACACTCAAAAAGAACAAGATTAATCCTGTGGGTTAATCAGATAATAAACCAAATAAGGTCATTATTTGAATTAAAAAACTCCAAAACAACCAAACAATAAACACACAAAAAAACCCTACCACCACCACCCCCCCACAACCTCACCTTCAGACGACTGGAATCCAGCCTGAGCGCAGAAAGCAACGGATCCAAACATTCGAACTCTGCCAACACATGGTTGTAGGAGTCTGGAATCACTGCCACAGAGGCCATGATGTACACCACTAGCACTGCTCACGCATGGGTGCATTACAGCTTCAGCTTTTAGCTGTACCTGCCAAAAGTAAAGTTCTTGATGAGCATTACGTCTAATGTAACAACACCAGGTTTCAGTTCTAACACCATCAGGTTTCAGTTTGCCAAAAAGGCCCAGGGGCTGCAGAATTAGACCACCGCTTCATTTACTGCAAGTTTTTGCTGAAGTTCATTTCAGAAAACTTAACCCATCAGATACCAATCTTGAAAATATTTAAATTGTAGATATATTTACATCCATCTGCGAAACAAGTTCTGTCTACCTATGGAAAAAGCCCTTTTTAATGGCAAAATGCACTTCCCACAACTTTCCTTGATTTTAAACTCATTTTCTCAAGGGTAACATTTAGCATTGGCAGTTTGTATCTACATCATCTTCTCACCCAAAAGGAACTTTAAGAAGTATCATCCTCAACTTATACTAAACTTAGAATTACCTACATTTGTGCATTTTATTGTAACTACGCATAAACATGTATAAATGATGCTTTTCACAGCACTTCCTTTTCAGCACACAAGATAGATAACACAGAGTAAAAATCAAGAATTAAAGTTATCAAAGCTGCAACCTCATGCGTTTTTTCCTAAACAGCATATATTTTAAAAGAATCTCTTGCCAAGAAATTTCTGAAGTTTAGACCTGTTTGTTGCTTAAAAAAACCCCAACTTGATACAGTTCATACTCATCATGTGAAACTTTACATTTCCTTACAAGAAAAGGGAACACTTACTATCACCAGACACTACGAAAAGGGAAGATACACATTTAGCCAGAGAGACTGAAAATCGTTTCTTCAAAATTCTCAAATAATCTTAAATTATGGGATTTGAGAACGACTCCACCTCAGTGATAAAGACTGGAAAGTCTCTGATGACTAAAAAAAGGACAATTTTGTTCTCAATTAGAGTATTCAGTCCAGGAAGACACCTTAGTACCTGCTGTATGCACTCTGTCATAAGGAAAGTCGCAGATAACCTCGATCAAAGCCAGCCTAGAATTTTAAACCCTTCCTCAGTCAGAACCCTGCTCTCGAAACCAGCAACCGCCTCGGTGTCTGACCTACCCCAGCACCCCCCTGGGTGTCTGACCTACCTCTAACACAGGCTGCCCGCCTGCCAGCCTCCAGATCGAGGCAAGAACTACAAACTCATCATATTTTCTCTGATACATGGAGTAAAGCAAAGTCTCCCAGCAGCTCACAACCCCCCGACTCCTTCGGAGGCCGCTACCCGCGGAAAGCTGCCGAGGCAGGGGACGCTGCTTGCCCAACCACGCCCCGCAGAGCGAGCCCCCGACAGCCGCCG